ATCGCCGCCTGTATTTCACATGTAATAGTAACTCTGTCACCTGCATATATGACGGGAGCATCTGTGGTGCATATTGGACCATTGCTATCGGGCGGAATAAAAACTATGCAGAGAAAAAAAAATATCGATTTTGTGATAAAATTTAACATTTTAAAGAATTACACATGTAATTTTGGAATCAAGTATCGTCCCACCAAGAATACATTGATTTTTACGAGCACTGGAAACAGGAACAACAAACAGAGCCGACACTTTCACTTCCTCTCTAAGTTCCGCTATACGTTCAACTACCTGAGATGTTGCGAACATTCGGAGGTCAAACCAGACATTTCCCTTGTGTTGCGTTGATACACCAATCATTACGATACCACATCGGTTTAAGATTGCCATTATTGTAATCCAAAGAAATAATTAAAACAAATTTTTATTTCGTCCATATTGCGTTTTTAAAAAAAAACTCAGGACGAGTTGGGTTAAAGGTCTTACACCATAAATAAACTATCCATAGATGATAATGTTTACTGGCATTAATGTACACGGCTTAGGTGAATCACGTATCCAAAATTTAGAAAAATTGAAAAAAGGTGGTTCACATGCTAAGCATTTGAAAACAACAACTCTCCCGATCCGCTTCCTTGCACACATGGTGTGGACACTTACCAGCAACGTTGAGATTGGCCGATGCCGCAACTGGCGGGTTACCCTCCATTTGGCAAGTATAAACCCCAGAATCTGCGCTGGTGACGTCATCAATGTGGAGGTTATATTGCGACTGGCTGCCGAGAATAGTATACCTAATAAGAAGCATTAGGTTTTAGTAATTCAAGTATATCGCGATTAACAAAATCCATCCTGTAGCTTTTTTAGGCTCTGTGAACAATACAATATGCGATTTTAGCGTGTGTTGTTATCCTCGCTTGGGACTCAATTCCCGCGCGTGCGCAGGTGACGACCCTCCCCCTTTAACATGTATACATGTGGTATGCAAGAACTTATAGAGGGCGTGCATGTACTTGTATTATATTGATGAACCGTTAATGAACCTACCTGACGTCATGAGTTGTCATATCTGTACTGATAGTGACGCCATCTTTAGTCCATACCAATTCAGCATCTTTATTGGCAACTGAACATTGGAGTATGACGTCATCGCCTTCTTCAACTGTCTGGTCCATCGGTGCGGTTGTTATGGTTGGGATTGCTAGGGTGAAAGGTACACACTACTTAGTGTACTATTGTGACTCAATAAGTTTAACATTCCGTGAGATGAGTTCAACGATTAAAACTTGATTGACTATATATTCTTAAATCCCAATCATTAAGCCATTCAGCGTAAACCTTTAATATTTACTGACTAAGAAGACCTCATTTCGTACTTTAAAAATAGTTCTAGGTACCGTGGTACAATTGATTAGTGCAATCATTTAAAAAAATGGGATTTTGTATATTTTTTTTATTTTAAATTTTACGGTTTCGAATTTGCTCTTGTGATGCAGCTTCGGTAACAAAATGGTAAAATTATATATTGCTTATTAACACCCATCACTCTGTAATATTTACGCCGTTACTCTATTGGATTATATTGGCAATGACATTTCAACTTACTTAAAACAGTCAGTCTCGCAACGTTAGATTCTAACCGATCGCTGTCATCCCCGGAAGTGACAATGCATTGAAAGTTGCCCGTATCGCCACCAACTGTAGACTCGATTTGCAGATTATACACACCAATAGTATTGTCACCGACTATACTATAACGGTCATCTTCAATTATAGTTACGTCATCATTTGATATAGCGATGTCATCTTTGTACCATATTACGTCACCCTCCTTGTTGTCTACCTGGCAGTTGAGAGTTACTGTTACGTTCAGCTCGACTGTCTCCGATTCGGGTTCGCTCACAAAAGTATGTTGTACGATCTCTGCCCGAGAAAAGAACAAATATTATCAGTAGTGCGTTCTGCACTTCGGTCATTTCGGTCAGTCAACTATATATTGTGTACAAACACAGTATATCTCTCATAGACCTCAGATAACTTGAACCAACCTGGGCTGGTTGTCTGAGCATTGACTTTAGGCGCAAATTGCGGCCGAAATCTCGTTAAGAGCGGGAGACCTGCGAGACTTGTTTTTGTCATTCAAACTGTGTTACATTTTTTCCTATGATAGCGTCTACTTAGACTTTCGTCAGTCCATCTGGAGTATTTTTTTTTCAAATCAAATGATCCGAAGTCATTTCAAGCCGCAAACGCTTTGTGGCATTTGATTAAATCATTTAATTTGAAAACAAAATCAATATGTGTCGATAGTCTAGCTTCTACTGACTACTTATCTATGTAACCGTTTTAATGTGGGACAGCCGACGTGATGAAGGGATGAAATAAAACGTTCTTCGAGAGGGACTGTGATAACGTCCACAATAGGAGAAACTTGCGTCTAAGTATCTAACTAGAGCCAATTGTTATTTCTGAGAATCAATATACTGACACCAGAACACTCAGGATGTGCTATAAACCAATTACATCTAATATACTTATTGGTAGGATCACTGCAACATCTAATTGTTTTAATGTAGCATG